CTGTGGAACTGCTGCTGAGATATTACAACCTCCCTCTGATTCTAACATAGGACTGAGGTCTGAACTATCTTGCATTTGCCCCATAATTTTCTAGAAGATGAGATTCTTGTGTTAATTCCAAATACTAAGGAATTTCAAAAACAATGAATAAAAGTCTGCTATACCAAAAAAAAGTTTTAGGATTAGACAAAAAAAAGGATGAAATACAAGATCAAAGCAGTATTCATGTGAGTCCGTGGTTGCAGCAGGGAGTTGCTTCACTTTGCCAGTCTGCTATTAGAGCTACCTTTCTGCTACCTACTGTCTGCTCTGAGGGCTTGCCTGCTGAGATCAAGCTGGCAGAGAGCTATACTGCTAGGCCAAGTCATCACACCAGGCCCTAGACGGCCTGCTGCAGAGAATGTAAGCAGTAAAGAGGTTGTCAAGATTGTAGTTTGATCTGATTGTACACAGGGCAGTACATCTGATCTTACTGCTTGTATTTGGATGTAGACAAGTGTATGCTTTTCTACACAGAGCCTAGTCTGAGATTCAAAAAGTTCATAGTCCCTCCTGCAGAGTAACCTTGCCTGCTTGAAAGCAGGGGAGTTCTCTAACAGCTGTACCCAAGGATGAATCTATGGAAGGACAAACACTTAGCAATGATTTTTCTAGTCTTACAGCGAGTTCAGAGACATGGAGATGTGTAACAAATGTTAGCAATGGGCATACACCTCTCCAATGGTGGGAGTGAAGTGGCGTGAAATATCAAGAATTCAGGTAAAGTGAGAGAAGAGGTAGACCAATTCAGGAGAGGGGCCTATATCTTTGATATTGTACCCTGGATGAGTCTGACATATTTATATGTCTGAGGCCATTAAAATTTGTGCTCCTTAAGATGTAACAGCAACTCATTCAGTAAATGAAAAAAGGCAAAGAGCAGGACTGAAATGGAGTCAGATAAATATGTGCAGGTTTGGGAAGAAGTGGTCATAGAAAAGGGCGTCCCTTCCTAGAAGGTTTGTATCTGGGTTGTATAAGGGCAAAGTTCTCCCAATTCACAATACACCATTAATACACATCATTACAAGAGAGCATCACGGGCTTCCAGGAGTAATGTCCAATAGACTCAAAATTCTCAGTTCCATTTGCAGTCCTCAAGCATTAAATCAGAGGAACAAGGATTGGCCTGAACAGGGAGGTTACCTGATTTCAAGGATTAATGGTCAGGTAGCAATTACAACACAAAAACATAGAACAAATACCCTAAAGGAGATGTGAATGTAACACTGTAGGAATGCAGAGGAGCAGTGAGAGAATCAGCCCAGCAGTGATAAGTTCATCTATTTGGATGCTGTTGCCTAAGAATTCTTGGTACAGAGAAAAGAAACTAAAGATAGTACATTAATCATCTCCACTTTTTATGAACAAGCAAAAGTAGAAAAGAGAAGTAATTAGAGAGGGAGGCAAAGAAAATGAGAAAGTTCTCTTAATAAAGGCTATTAGAATTCTTGAGTAAATAGTCCTTTGGTATTTTATCCCTTCCAAAATTGTCAGGATTAAATTCTAAATATCCTAAGTACAACATATTTACCAATGAAATTTTGAATCCATAGTCATATGTAAACTACACGTAAGACTTAGAGAGCAAACAGTTAATTTAATTTCCCTATTCCATGGTAAACAACTGCAGCACTTCTTTGGTGTTACTGATTATAAGATAAATTATCTCCAAAGGATTTGACATTGCCAAAGAATTAAATTATTTTATTTCAGGAATCATCTCCAGGGAGAACAAGAGTCCTTGGATCTTTATAACTATGTTAAAATCAATTAGGATTGATCAGAGAAAGAGAGTTGAAATGATAATATAGAAAACACTCCAAGGAATTCAAGTTCCCATAACATGAAGAATTCATAATAAGCTTTTCTATCCTTAAGAGCAAAGGCCATGATAAATTGAAAATGGCCTGCACACCTTAATCAAGATCTATTATCTTTTGGTTGTTTCTTATTTTAACGACCTATTTTGATATAAGATCTCAGACAAAATAAAGTTGTTTTGTTATGAAATATGATCAATACTTAAAAAGTTATTTAAAAGTCCTTATCAGAATTCCCATTGTATATAATATTAGCTTATTTATATGATGAATATTTTAATTAGTATCTCCAGCCTTTGAGACTTGAGACCCAATTGGAATAGTATCTGAAAATTATTAATAATTAAATAAGAGTTGAGAATTCCTAGATCCACTGTTTCCAAATGGACGTCAGGAATTAAGTACTGACAAATGTATATATTTGTAATAAAGCGTCATTATTATCATTATTATAATGAACAACTGTGTTTCTCTTTTTAACTACTATTCTTTCCCACTGGAGTCTATAGGGTCAAATAAAAGGCTGATAGATCAAATTTTAGGTTGTTCTGTTGTTCTCTCTTTTCTGAGTCATGTTCCCTCTTCATTGTCTTCTGCAGTTTTATTGAACTTAGTAGTATAAAGGTTACAAGGGGCACAATCTGAGGCTGCAATTTGCTCCGTATCCAATTATATTACAAGGACTTACTGCCTAACAGCTTACTTCAAAATGTCCCCTGGCTGCAACAAAACAGCCAGGATCAAAAGCTATAAACTTGAAGCAAACAGCTGCCACTTTCTCTCTTAACTCTTCACTATCTGCTACATGTAAGTTTTACATAAACCCCCATATGTAAACCCTCCTATTTCTTCAGGATGTGAAACTAAAAATAAAATGCTCAAATTTGAGAAGTATTTGAAACCAAACAAAACTACCTACATCTATAATAGTTTACTATCTCCTAATCTCTATTCCTTGTTTTTATATTTCATTGAAAATTTCAAGAGCTACTGTGATTTCCATGTACGTGTGTGTGTAACTCCCTCACAGAAATACAAGGTCCTTGAAGGCAGCAACCATATCTGTCTTATTTATCTTTTCTTTTCCTTAGAAACTTAGCACAGTTATGGCACATTGCAGGCACGTCAATGGATTTGGTTAAGAAATCTACCTTTTAGTTTGTTTAAATACAATTCTTTTTTTTTAAATTTTTTTTAAATACAATTCTTAATTCTACTGCAGTTTTGATTTTTTTTTTTAACAAACCTAAATATTTGGCCTATTTAAGAAATCTCAATATTGGAGATGATCTGTAAAAACCTCCTGATGGTCTATTATCTCCAAAAAGTGTTTATCATGACAGTACGGCAAGGAATTTCACATATATTTGAGTTTTTCTCACTTAAAGTGAGAATTAAGAATTGTATTTAAAAGAAGTATGGCTTTTTGAAACCCCTTGTCAATCCATGAATTGCTATAGGGCCTTTCCAGAGGTTTGCAGTGGGTGTAACTTCCCTGGCCAGGTAGCTCCTAGCCAAGGGTAATTCTTGGAGAAGGTGCAGCTGTGAGCCTTTAACAGCCAATACTCAGCAGTTAAAGGATGGTTGCATTTGCTTAGTAAATGGGATTTGGACAAAATACTAGAGTGCCATTACACATATTTTTTCCAAGTTAGCACTCATCTAACAAGATTATCATCCCTATTTTACGATCACAAAATTAAGTGTAAAAGATTAAATGATTAGTTCAAGAGAAAACTCCAGCACAGAATACTGCCCAGAATGAAATCTAAGACTTTCATTCTAAAACCAAGCCTTTATGCATTAAATCCTGCTTTCCAAACCCAAAGGAGATCCTTAAAAGAGTGAAGACCCTCAGAGCTGGAGGACAGAAACAATGATTTACTTGTCAATGACAATGTTTTAAATTAAGTAAGGAAATCACACACAAAAAAATTAAAATGTAAAGACACTAATGACTCAGTTTTTAATAATGATTTTGTTAGGAGAGAGAGTACTGGCTAGCATCCATTTGGTGTTTGCTACATGCTTTTTTAATCATGCTGATACCTTTGAAGGTATTTTCATACTTAATACTATCTAACCCGATGAGATAGATACTACTGTTATTCCTACCACATAGATGAAAAAGTAGGCTGTAAAATTTTGATCCTGCTAAAAATCATAAACCAGGAAGTTGCATTTTTGGACTTGAACCCAGGTCAGCCTGATTAGTAGATTCTATGTAGTGGCTAGATTTTGTGACTAATCAATGTCCCTGGCAAAATGAATTGATGTATCTAATTCTGCACATAACAAAATGATTTTATTTCTAGGACAAAAATCTTATGAGAGAAACAGAACAAAAATATCTCAGAAAGTGATAAAAACTTAATGACAATTCACACTTTATTTTTAAAATCACTCCAATTACTGAAATACGGTAAGGAATAAATCAAAGCACTATCATATATTTTGTCATAACAAGTGAAAAATTCAGACACATAGCAAGTGACTGAAAAAGATAAAAATAGATATAAGTATAAAAGTAGAAATCTCTGACAGTGAATGAAGAAACATCCATCTTTATACATAAGAAGTTGAAAATATACAGACAATTACATTTTAAAGATTCTATTTATTTATTTGAAAGAGAAAGCAGCGGGGAGAGACAGAGGGAGAAGCTGACTCCCCACCGAGCAGGGAGCCCAGTGGTGCTCCATCCTAGGACTCTGAGAACATGACCCCAGCCAAAGGCAAATGCTTAACTAAGCCTTCCAGGCACCCCAAAAATACAAAGAACATTATTTTGGAATAAACATTCTGCTACAATAATCGTGTAATTCTGAAGGCTAAATTGCCAAGAATAGAACTAAAAATAGAGATTTTTATTAAGGCACAATCCATTCGTTTAAATAAATCCATTCCTTTTTAAAAAATGGAAACTTAAGGGCTGTTTTCACAAGATTTCTGGATACATGAATCAAATATTAAATACCAAAGAACAAGTAATACTTACAATACTAGTAAGGCATATCACTGTTTCAAAATACGCTTGGGGAGGTATTAAGAAAGAGAAGGATGATAAAAGGGCATCATGTAAAAAGTGCTAGTGGCTATAAAAGTTATGTAACACTAGAGCTTACTTCTTCACTGTGTATTCTATACAAAAGAGAAATTTTATCTGCAAAGCATCCCGCTGAGGGACTGGAATTGCTGAAAAGGTAAAGTGCTTGCTCTAGCATCAGAAAAAGGAAGGAGGAAGGTAGGGGAAAAGTAACCTGGGAGAGATAACCCAAAATAACAGTGAAAAGTGTTGGAATGCTTGTGTTCTTCTTTGGGGGAAAACTGGAGTGCTTTTCACCTATAGCAATTAACTGTATAAAGAATTATTTCACTTGTTTCTAAAGGGAATTTGTAGATACTCTAAATCTTAATAGAAACCAAAACAAGAAATAGGGGTGTTAGAAAGAATGGAGTTTACATTTACTTTTAAACTCTTCTTAGAAATCTAACATTATACTCTGAAAATATAACTGCATGTGGAATTATGGCTGCAATTCTATTTCTTTCAAAAGGACTTTTAACATTCATGCAATACAACAATGGTCAAGGAAGTTTACAAATGTATCTTGAGAAACCTGAGTTGCTGAGGTTCCAGAAAAGTTCAAAACTGAAGAAAAAGAGGACCTCTGCATGTAACGGTTTCTGTAGTTCCATGAACAATTCAATTTGAAACTAGAAATGAGTGTTCTGTATGTGTGCATATTATTTTTAGTAGACTGTTTATGTCACTTTGAAAACAACTGGTGTAAGTAATCTACTAAAAGTAATAGCTAAATCTGAAAGATTTAAAGCAATCAGGTAAAGGAAAAGTAAAACAAAAAAGCATATGCTCAGACAAGGCTGACTTCTAAATGTTTCTGAAGGTGACTTCAAGCAAGAGATAATGCCTTTAAAATAACCCATTTGCTGACATGGAAATTAAAAGCGATACCAATACAAAGAGAAACTTCTATGTAGAAAATTAGATGAACCATTCCCATTATACTAAATGGTGTTTTCATGCACAACAAAGTACTTCATATATTAAGTCCATAAAAAAATGAAAATACTGAGGTTGTGATAATGTACAGTTACGGTACTGATCATTACAAAGATTGTAAAATTCTCTCCAAGAAATAGGAACAGAGTTTAGTTTGCTCTCTTTTTTCACATTAACGTCTTACTGGGGATCAAGAAGTAAAAACTCAACACTAGGATCAGATGATTTTTTTCATGCGAACATGAAATGATAATTTAGAAATGAGTTATATTTTCATTTTAACAGCAGGAGCGATTTGATTACAGTAGTTGGGAAAAGAACACTTAAATTAAAACTTGTCCAATTTTTTTTTTGTTTTTAAAATGCCAATGTAGAATGATTAGACTGGAGACTTAGCATACAATTTTATTTTATGATATAATGGGACATAATTGTGGTCAATAAGAAGTTTAAAAATCATATAAGAGCACAACTGAAGTAAACCCTCTGAAATCCAGAGTTTTTAAAAAATTGTTTTAGCTCATAATTCTTAGAAAATATTATTTGATTTATAAAACCACAATAGATACTTATATATTTTTTATACCTAGGATCTCATTGTTTCAAAAATATGTATTATAATTTTGGGGGGGTAATCAGGCAAAATTGTTTTTTGTGTTCTTAGCTTTGATTGGGGATCTTTTCTAATGCAAATTCATTGAACCTCAATGCTATTCCATAATAATGAACTTGAATTTTTCACTTATCTTCCGTTTTAGAAATCAAGATGTGGTTTTGTTTTGGTCTATATTGACAGTCCTCACCATCTTATATTTTAGTTATTATTATTAATAATACGCTCAATATTCTTTTCTTTTTTTTTAAAGATTTTATTCATTTATATTCATGAGAGACACAGAGAGAGTAAGAGGCAGAGACACAGTCAGAGGGAGATGCAGGCTCCATGAAAGGAGCCCCATGCAGGAGATCCCAGGACTCCAGGATCACACCCTGGGCCAAAAGCAGGTGCCAAACCACTGAGCCACCCAGGGATCCCCTAATATGATCAATTTTCTATAGAAAATGTTCAGCCTTACCATACTCTATTCAGCCAAGCACCATCATACAGTCACTACCTTTCATGATTAAAATCAGAATGCTTTTTATTTGTTAGCTCACTAGTGATTTTCAAATAATTTGTTTTCAATGTCACTTCTAGAACTAAGGTGAAAAGTTCATGATATACGTGATAATGAATTCATGATGTTACTTCACTGGTTATTTGTGGTGACATACTGACCACACCTTTTACATATTCCATTAAAATTAACTGTTGCAACTTGTCTTAGGTTAAATTTTGTACATTTAATTTTTCTTCAACTTAGAATTTGATTAACCTGACTGCACACTTACAACATTTTAACTACAATCATTGTACTTAAATATGCAACCTGAATAAAACGGTGTACATAATAAAAATTAAATCGCTGTCTCCTAAAGCCAGTTCAGTGTCCCTGGTGAAAACATGCAGTCTCTGATGGCTCCTCACACAACTGCTAGTTTAGGACTTTCCATGTTCCTTGGGGGAAAAACTGCCACATTCCTAAGAACCCCTTAACTCTTCTTGCAGTTTTCTCAGTCCCTCTCCTTCTACTATGTACAACTTTCAAAATATTGGATAACCCTAGTAACTACAGTTCATCAATATTTTCCAACTCTTTGGACTTAAGTTGGCCACATCACACTTTGCTTATGTTAAACAATGCACACGCACTTTTCTTAATAAATCACACACACAATTTCATAAGTAAAAAGATGGGGAAATTCTCATAATCTTATCATAAAGATACACGATTCTTATGAATCATATTTACAGTTTATGTAAGTTTGTATTTGGCTTCTCTTCCTAAAATTTTAACATCACCATAATATTTCATCTAATGGATACTTTTCTAATTCATTCCTTGACTATTATTTAGTTATCAGTAAAATGAATTTGTCATGGTAATTTATGAGGTAATAATTGGGTACTACACACATCTCAATACCCAAGTTCTAAGAGGTAGCCAAACTCATTGAAAAGACTGTATGAGAAGCTCTGGAAGGGGAAGGGAAGTTACGAGGACTTTTAGGGGTAGAAAGGGGGATGAAGAGAAGGAGTTGCAGAAGTGGTGGGTGGATATAAGCTTTGTTCCATGGTTCTAACTCTCCATAATGGCAAGACATCAAAGGGGTAGCTATCTGGGTGCCAAAGAGGCTAGCTTCTGGGCAGAGTATCCCATTCCTTCTAAAGACAGCCTTGTACAGAGAGTGTCAAGAACGTAGCAGTCCCCTGACTAAAACTAAGGGACTAGGGGTTAGTCCCCCTAACCCCTGTTAGCAGTGCAAAACAATAGCAGATAATTTGAGGGATGTCCCTGATTCACAGGTATTGAGTTAGGGTTCAGAAATATGGCACAACTAGGTGATGTCAGTAATAACAACTCAGGTTGAATTCCTGCCTCTGCAGTAGAAAGGTGGTTCAAGAATAGAATCAGACTGCCTTGAGAAAAAGAAGAGAGATTTATTACAGAGCTAAATATTTGGACTAAGATTCAAAACCACTAAATAACCTACTCTGAAAGGAAAGCCTTTTTATATATGACTTTATCTTTCAGGATTATCCCACTGACAATTTCATGGTAGTGGATATATGTCAGTGGATAGGGACATTTTTCATGACCCTGGAAATGCATAACCAGATTGCCTATTCAAAAGTGTGACCAGGGGCGCCCGGGTAGTTCGGTCAGTTAAGCATTGGCCTTTGGCTCAAGTCATGATCTCAGGGTCCTGGGATCCAGCCCCAGGTGAAGCTCCCTCCTCAGCAAGGAGTCGGCTTCTCCTTTTCCCTCTGCTCCTCCCCAGATTTGTGTGCTCTCTCTCTCTCTCTCTCTGCCCCCCAAATAAATAAATAAAATCTTAAAATAAAAAAGTATGACCAATTAATACTGCCATGGTCATCACATCTTCGCTGGATTTAAATGATACCATTATGGTTTTTTGGCTTATCTTTTATGTTTTAGCACATTGGCAAAAAAAAAAATAGTGCCTTATATTACTTCAAAACGAGTGAAGTAAAACTATTGTCCTTGTTCTTTTTTTAAAAAAAAAAAAGTTGTTTAATGATATATGATTTCTGTAAAATGAACCAATAAAAAGCCAATGAAAGTTTGTGCTTTGATGAATTCTAATGAAACCACCTTAACAGAATTACAAAACCTTACCGTTAATCCCTACCAATTCCTGTGCTTTCTTGAAAATCATCCTTCCCAGCCCCAAGTTAACCACTGCTTCCCTTCAATCAGAATAGTTTACATCCTAAAAATTCGAATATCGTTCAATATGTATTCTTTGTGCTTCAGTATGTACTCCCCCAACTTCTTCCATTCAATATTATTATTTTTGAGAATTTAGTGTCAGTATTTTCTTATATAAATTACTTTGAGTCTTTTTCTCATTTTCCTTCAAATCTTTTTCAATCTATAATGTCATTATATTTCATTGATGATATCAGATGAAATTTTAGTACTCTTAAAATAACCTATAAGATGTTACTAGTTTCCCTCTTACAGTAACTAAATCCTAAGTTAAACCATAAGAATGAAATTTGGAAAATATTTTTATATTAGATAGTAATTTTATAAAAATATTTTCCAAATATTACATTTAGATAATTCAGTATTTTAAGGCAAGTAAATAGTTACTCATTCTTCTATTTACATTCAGTCAAAAAGAGAAGTAGGATGCTCCATGCATACTGGAGTTTTATTGTTGTTACGTTTCAAGAAGTGTAATACAGCTGCAATTGTGACATATGGGAATCAATTTTTCTAGTCTTTATTTTTGTTTTTACTTTGTAAAACTGCAATATTTAATTTAGTTATTTTTAAATGTTTAATCTGGGGCACCTGAGTGGCTCAGTCAGTTAAGCATCTGCCTTTGGCTCAGGTCATAATTCTAGGGTCTTGGGATTGAGCCTTGCATAGGGCTCTCTGCTCACCTGCTTCTCCCTCTCCCACTCCCCCTGCTTGTGTTCTCATTCTGTCAAATAAATAAATAAATAAAATATTTAAAATACATAAATTTTTGACTCTATAACACCCAATTAAAGGGGAACAAAAAGACATATATTGATCTGAGGCAAATGCTCAGACTTAAGGAAAAAGCTTTTTATCATTTTAAGAATTAAAATTATTAAATGACATTAAGTTTATATTTAATTATGGTCTATTAGAATACAAATATTTTATTAACTGGTTGTGTATGAGATACTTATATTGTTTTCAGTTCAACATCTTTTTTGGGAACATAAAATCAAATAACATCTACAAACAACATAGTTTTAATAAAATGGAAAATCATCATCATCACTTTTTAATTCTTTTGGAAGTAACTGCATTGTAAAGAACATTGTAATTGTTGCAGAAAAGAGATCAATTTTTCATTTTTTGGGACGCCTGGGAGGCTTAGCAGTTGGGTGCCTGCCTTTGGCTCAGGGCGTGATCCTGGAGTCCCGGCATCGAGTCCCACATTCAGTTCCCTGCATAGAGCCTGCTTCTCCCTCTGCCTGTGTCTCTGCCTCTCTCTGTGTATCCCTCATGAATAAATACATAAAATATTTAAATTTTTTTTCATTTTTCTTTAGAGAATAAAAGAGAGAATATTCCATGGCTAATCATTACAGCACAGATAATACTGAAAGTTTGGGTAATCACAACTATGATTTCCTATTTTGATATTGTGGTGACTTATAAAAAAAAAACAAGAAAAGAAAGAAAGAAAGAAAGAAGAAAGAAAGAAAGAAAGAAAGAAAGAAAGAAAGAAAGAAAGAAAGAAAGAAAGACATTTTTGCTGAGCTCCCCTTATTACCAGACACTATATTCAATAATTTATAGTCTCATTTATAAGCCTTCCAACACGCATAAGGGAAAAGTACTATCTTCATTTTGCCTACTACGAAACTGTTGTTTAAAATGGTTAAATAAGTTCCACAAATTCAGCAACGGAATGAAAGCTACAATTTAGTTCTGCTCTTTACAGAGTTGGTCACTAAATCAGTTCTTCAGCTTTTTCTTTTCTATGTAAGATAAATTAGTTCCTTCAATCATTCCTTGATAGAATAATCAAACATCATTTATCCCACCCTCCATATCCTCTCTAAATTCTTTTTTTTTTTTCAAGTAGGCTCCATGCCCAGTGAGATCAAGATCAGAGCTGATATCAAGACCAGAGTTGAGACCAAGAGCTGGATGCTTAACCGACTGGACTGAGCCATCCAGGTGCCCCTAAATTCTTTATGATCCATTTTTGGAATACCAAAATAAAACTCATCAAAACTCTGAAAAGATGCTAAATATGTTAAAAATTCTAGATAGTAACAAGGAAAATTTGGCCACTGACGGCTTTAACAGGAATTCTTGACACCTAATTCCACTTTGGGGATGAGGATACGGGAATTAAGAGTAAGTATGGAGGAAAGAAATTTGTGTCTATATTGCATATCATTCTTGATTAAGAAATTTAGAAACAGAAATGGGTCATCAGCAAGATATTTTACTCTAACCACACAATAGCAGTTATGGCCACAAAGGGATGTTAATAAAAATAGACTTTCTTTAAAGGCAGTATACCTCTGGGACAGAAGCTATTTCCTCACAGTTTTAACAGGAACTGAGACCATTATAAAGCATTAGAAGGTTGGGTTTTGGTACATTAAACAAGCAACTGGAATCACTTATTTTCAGACAGAGGTTTCATTAACCTGTTAATGTTTATTCATGCCAATTCTTAACAGACCAAAAATAGCTAAAATCTACTGAGACCAATATTTTTCAAGCAGCATCAACACCTTCACTTTTAAGAAGTAGGTATAAAGTTTCTTTGGCCCGTTTCAGACCACTAAAGTCATTTTTCCCCCAATCATCTATCTCTTTAGTCTCAATGCATTCATTTAATCTCTCTCTTTCCCTCTTCCTTGGTTTTAAATCATTTTTATTAAATTTTTTGAAAATTTACCTAACAATAACAGCTAACATAGCAAATACTTATATTGTCAGAGGGGCTATGCTAAGTCCTGTATGTACATTATCTCTTTTAAAACTCACAAAACTGGGCAGCCCTGGTGGCTTAGCGGTTTAGCACCGCCTTTGGCCCAGGGATCGAGTCTCAGGTCAGGCTCCCTGCGAGGAGCCTGTTTCTCCCTCTGCCTGTGTCTCTGTCTGTCTGTCTGTCTGTCTCTCTCTCTCTCAGTCTCTCTGTCTCCCATGAATAAATAAATAAAATCTTAAAAAAAAAAAAACTCACAAAACCACATGACACAGTCACTGCTTTCTCCCCTGGCTTGTAATGGTTGAACAGCTTCATTACTCTGAGACTGTCAGAATTGAGCTTTGAACTCACTTGAGAGCCTGCATACCTCATCGTTAAATTATACTACCTCGCCTTAAAAGTATACCTTTCGAAGCAACATTTCCAACCAAGTCATAACCAATTTCTGACAAAGGCTTATGGTAATAAAAATATATATATATATTTTGCAGTGATTCAGAAACCAGAAAACTTCTCATTAAATACTGGTTTGGTTTTGGTTTTTCAGTTACTTTAGACAATTTTTCAAATAAATCAGAATCAAGTCAGTGAGAAAATAATATAACACTAAAACTGGAAGAAAAGATAGGAAGCAATTAGTGAGCAGCTTTGCAAATGTTAACTCTTTGCTGGCAAAGACTGTGTCTTATTTAAGTGTGGTATCTCTGAATATAACACTTGGCTCACAGAAAATGTGAGTTAAATGAATCATGTAAACAATAACTTGAACTTTGAAAATTTGGACTAGATTTTCATATATTTTAGATTCTTAGTTTTAGATCCTCAAAGAAAAAAAAATAAACAGATAAACCACAAACAATCCTGTGTTCATTTCAGGCTTTGTTCAAATTCTTCATGTTTGAAAATTCAGAATGTTTAATTCTAGAATTTCTTTCAGATTAGAAATAAAATGTATCAGAATATGCATGCTAGTTCTAAAGCCTAAAAATTAATTTATTTATAATGTTTATAGCTCATAGTAAAAAAAATGATAATGCTCTTTATATGAAATCATTGCAAGCTGTACTGGAGAACCCTGCTAATTACACCTTACTACCCCCCTACCACTACTGAGATCAATATTTTGACTCTAACAGTTTCAAAGAAGAATTTAAACATATGGAAAATATATGTATACTTTGCCATTTGAAAGAAATTGTCATACAGTTGAAAAATTAGCTGTCCTCTCCCATCAAATGCCTTTTTCCTACACTGGGTCTCAGGTGAATGAGAAAACCAGATGGGACCATGATAGAGTAGTTTTACTTGCATCACAACTTTGATATGCAAATTTTATCCTAAAAGAATGAGAAAAGAACTGACCAGCAGATACTGTCATAAGAGAATTCCTCTAACTATGTGAGGGAGGGTGGAGACTGTGAACTCTGAGAGGGATATACTTTGACATTTTACTTTCCGATGTAATGTACTCAAATGCAAAATACTGCCTATATTAAAATGCATAAAAAATCAATTTCAGGGTATAAAGTGTAAATGTTGCAATAGATTCATTCTGCTAGTCTTACAGATGATTCTTTACTCAAGTTGATATTTGTCTTTATGAATAATTGAATTGTATAACTCTTTAGCAGAGAAAATGAGATATTTCTCTACTTGAGGATTTTTATCTAAATGAATATAAGTAGAAAAATAACTTTAAGAGAAACACTATAAAAAAAGTTCTTAAAAGCCCTAAGAATTTACTTCCAAAGAATATATAATCTAAAAGTAAAAAATATATTTTCTCTGACAAGTTTTTAGTTCTGCTTTATTACATCTAACATTTCACTAAATTAATATATATAGTAATAATACAAGAGCACAAAAAACAGGTTTAGAAGGAAATTATAAAAATAAGTATTATAAGAATAAAGTCCTTGAAATCTAAACAGGGTTCTGATTATGAGGAATTCCTTGTGGGAAAGAAAGGAAAATTTGAAAAAAAAACAGAAGTAAAGGCAAAACAATAAAATTATAGTGTAAATTAAAACGTAAAATATTTAATATGTAAATTAGAAATTAAGTTAGGAAAGTATAAACATTTTATATAACTTAATCTTATAAAACGTGACAGTATGAATAACTACAAGTCAAATAATAGAAAATGAAAGAAAGTAAAGAACTTTTACATATAAACATTTTAGGTAAGATATATACTTTAAAGCCTATTAAGCTGTAAAATGCTACTGTAATGTAATGTTAAATGGGAATTTTCCCATGGCCAGAAATTCCAACAAAAAGCCAACTGGAATTTCATCATTGCTAGGAATATATAGTCTTAGCTCACAAAGTAACATTTGGGGCCAGCTATTTCAAAAAATGGATTATCAAGATTCACCAGTTTCAGGGGCCCTAGTCATGACAGCAATAATGAGTGATGAAAGAGAATGGTCATTGGGGGTGATGTGAAGTGAAGCAGTCAAAAGAATCCTTCATAAATGTAATGCTAAATATCCTTAAAATGTAGGTTAAATAGCCTAAAATGTCTCTCAAATCTATTTTTTTCAGATCTATTCCCTCTTCTAAAACATTGGTGATCCCTTGGGTCCACAGAGAGTTTAATGCTGCCCACGCATGAAAAGAATGACCAAAATAGAGAGAAGGAGGTGCTCAAACAAGAAGCTCTAATGATTCACCTTCCTATTCTTTGACGAAGAATACAGACTTTCTTGGATGGCAAGCATATGAATATGTCTCCTGAACTTAAGCAAACCAGCTAATCAGCTAATACCCACTCAAGCAAATTGCCATAAGTCTCTCTAACAAGTAGTTTTTTTTTTTAAGTTCTTATTTAAATTTCAGTTAGTTAACAAACAGTGTAATATTAGTTTCAGGTGTACAATATAGTGATTCCACCTAACAAGTAGTCTTTGGGGGGAGTTTAGTGAAGAATAAAGAGATAAAATGAGGGGCACCTGGGTGGCTCAGCGGGTTAAGCATCTGCCTTCAGCTCAGGTCATGGTCCTGGGGTCCTGGGATGAGTAGGGAACCCTGCTCAGTGGAGAGTCTGCTTCTCCCTATCTGCCCCTCCCCTACAGTGCTCTCTCTTGTGTGAATGCACACTCTCAAATAAACAAAATCTTTACCAAAAAAAAAAAAAAGCTGAATCTTGATTTGCCTCTTCAATAATCTGAGAAATGGGACACCAACTGCATAACTCTTGGAGGAAAGCACAGAGCACTAGCACTGGGAAGCCAGATACACAGAGGATATCTACGGTGAGAATCAGCCTAAGCAACAGCAACAACCAACAAAAAGAAGACTGCAATCTCATTGAGTCTTGTAAAAACACATTTGTCTGCTACTGACATATCACAGATGGAGCTGGTATCTAGAAGTGGGAGAGAAAAGGGGTGTCTAGAAGCCAACCCACACCCCAGTACTCTCAAAGTGCAAGAGCTGTCAGCACAGATGGTATGTGTAGAAAAGCTTTGATTGGAATTTCAGATTGACATTTTAAAATGAATAATAGAATAAACTAATAACCCAAGAGTCTGAAAAGTTACAGTATCTGTCCAAAAAAGAGTCAAGGAAGAGCCCCCAAGTAAAGAGAGAAAGAGAGAGAGAGAGAGAGAGAGAGAGAGAGAGAGAGAGAGAAGTTCCATTATAACACAGCTAGGGGAAATCACTGGAAAAAAATTATAACAATATCTTATTTAAGCAATAATAGATTGTAACTCCTCAAAAAAAAAACCCACTTATTCTATTTAATGGTATACTTAGAATAACATTATTGTGTTCTATCTTGCTGGCTAACAGAACGGATCATTGAAGCTCATGTGTGTATCTCTGAGAAAAGGCACAATAAATGTATTGTTCAAGTGTGTAGCACCCCCAGAAATAATTATGCTGCTCCATAAACCAGAGCATTGGAAAAATGCATTCATTCCACAAACGTTTTTTCAATGCCTCGAATGTGCCAAGCAAAATTCTGGTGATTGTGATCTCAGTGATGAGTGAACAGAGTCTGACGTACCCCTATGTCTGTACTATTACCCTGTGGATAGACCAGTCAAGGAGGAACTCTCTGAAGACGTGATATGGGAACTAAGATCTGAATTAAAAGTCACCAGCCATGTTATGATCTAAACGGCAGGGGAAGGAGAGAAGGTGTTGTGACAGACTGAACTGGGTCCTCCAAATTCCCTAAGTTGAAGCTCTGATCCCCAATGTGACTGTATTTGGAAACAGGGCCTTCAAGAAGGTCACTAAGGTGCCGTGAAGTCCTAAGGGCCGGCCTGTAACACGATAATACCAATATCCTTGTAAGAAAAGGAAGCACCATTAGGAGCGCACACCGGGGAGAGGCCGAGCAGAAGAGCAAGCAAAGGGCCGCAGGCCAGGAAGAGCTGTCCCGCCAGAAACCAACTCTTTTGGCCACGTGATATTGCACTTTTGGCTTCTAAAACCATGAGAAGATAAGTGCTTGTTGTGTAAGCCACCTATGCTGTGGTATTTTACACTATGGCAGCCTTAGGAGAATACAGAAAGGGAGATAGTTAATGTGGGCCCGCGGGATCGAGGGGGGTCCGGAGGCACCAACAATACGGCGGGGCCCCTCCGCCTCGGTCCTCACCTCAGAACTTCCCCGCCGGCAGGGACCGCCGAGGGCACGCCACCCTGCGAGACAGGGCCTATGCACCTTACCCAAACCCCATACAAGGGCATAAGCGGTTATCACCCCACACAGACGCAGCCCCCCGCCTCTCCCCCTCCGAAAGCTCCCATGTAGGGCCGCCCAGGGGGTGCAGAGGTTCAGGCTCCTCGCCCGGGCGTGACCCTGGAGACCCGGGTCGCGTCCCACCTCGGCCTCCTTGCATGGAGCCTGCTTCCCCCTCTGCCGGGGTCTCTGCCTCTCTCTCTCTCTCTCTTTCTCGTGAATAAATAAATAAAATCTTGTAAAAGAATAAAAAATAAAAAACCTCCCATGTTACTCCCTTTGGGCACTTCTCACTCTCTCCCTCCCCTGCGGGCCACGGAACCTCACCCGAGAGCCGTCCCATTAAAAGCTTGCCTTCACCAACTTTTGCCTACCCTCTCTATTTCATTGCACTACCAATCGGATTAAACCTGACAGTTAAGATAGAGAAAACAAATAATGCAAAGGCCCTAAAGAAAGAAACAGCTCGTGGAGTTCTACCCATCAAGTGATGTGGGCAGGAATGTTCTCCTGGGAAGTGTGGCAAATGTAGGAGATGAAGTTGCAGAGGCAGGCAGGGGGCTAAGCTAGACGGGGGGCAGGTCTGGTCTACCAGACCAGACCTTGAATTGGAATTTTATTTTCAAGACATCATAAAGATAATGAAAGACAAAAGACAAGCCCAGCTGCTCCTAGGAGAACAGACTGTTGGACTTCAAACACAGAACTGTTAGGCCGAACCGGTCCACACCTGACCTATGGAGTTTACAGTGATCAAGAGGAAGGAGGAGATTTGGGGTGAATTTTGTAGGTAGGATCTATGAAACTTGCTGATAAATTAATGAGAAAAAAAGAGTCAGTGACCTGGCTTTGCCTACTCTGGCTGTGAGTTTACTCATTCAGGAATTACAAAATTTAAACATCTATACCAAAAGTTACTTACAGCTTGCGATTTACTAAAATGAAATGTTTTGTTGACAATGATTTAAATTCAAATATGTATAAATATTATATTCAAGTCACATAAAGACAATTAAAAAATAAACACTACATAAAGGTAGGTCTTAATAGTTTCATCAGATCTCCTTTAGTGTAATTTCCTATCCACATGACTGGGAGGAGTTAGTATGTTAGACTAGTGTTACTCTCTCCTTGTGAAACCCCTCCCACAGGCTGCACTAAGCTTAGATAATCGACTATGCATTTTTCACTTCGGGACCCAATGGCTGATCGTAATAATATGATTCTTAAGTTTCTTCCTATCCTTGTTAGCATTGATTGTTATTGCTTTGTCTCTCCTTTCTGCATTTCCTTGACTATTTATCCATGTTCCAACAAATGGAGATATCGCACAGGCCCGTTTCAGGTTATTGTAAACCAGACTGTCCTAGAAATGATATATTTTTCTAGCTTGGCCAGGGTCAGAGGATGTGTTATCCTGTCATTTTGATATAATGACCAGCTCTATTAGCTTTTTGTATGCATTATTCATGTTTTATTATTGCCAGTAGATATAGCTATATCTGTATTATTCATCTCCTAATATTTATTCTGGGGGTTTGCTGAGATCATCTGATCTAGCCTGGACTTGGCAGGGAGACTGTGGTTTAATCTGTAGATCTGGCTGGGTTTGGCTCCTCATTATAGTCTGGGTTCAGTCTACTCCAGCATATACTAGCTTTTCACAGTATTGGCTGAGGTGCAAGAAAACAAAACCCAAGGCAGGCCTTGAGAGACGTAGACTTAGAAATGGCAACTTTACCTTAGGTTCTTAGTTTGTTATGAAGGAATGAGCTTGAAAACAAGTTTAGAATTGAGGGCAATAATTCAATGTGCCACACCAATAGTCATATACCACACTTGTATTTACCCTTCTCTAATTATATAGATTTTTTAAAAAGTGTGTAACTAATTGGGGCAGCTGGGTGGCTCAATCTGTTAAGCATCTAACTCTTTATTTTGGCTCAGGTCATGATCTTGGAGTTGTGAGATCAAACCCTATGAAGGGCTCTGTGCTCAGTGGGGAGTCTGTAAGAGATTCTCTCCCTCTCCATCTGCCCCTCCCCTCGCTTACATGCAAGTGTGTGCTCTCTCTCAAAAATAAACAAATCTTTTAAAAGATTTGCATAGCTAATCATGATAGACACAGACTTATCACAAAAAAATGAAAATGTAATAAATACATGTATATTCCAGATCCATAATCTATACATATATGTACCTATATACATATATATGCATACATTTTACATACATGTACGTATTTATAACTAGAGAGGGGACTGATGAAAAAAGACAAAACTCTAAGGTTTACAGGGGGACCCCCCTGAGTACTTAGTTGAGTGATGATCAGCACATGTATATAAGGGAAAAAGCCAACACTGATATACTACAAATGGCTTCACTAGTGAACTTTACCAAATATTAAAAAAAAAAACCTACTCTGAAAAAAACTTTGAAAATGTTGAAAAGTAGGAAATACTAACCAATTCATTCTATCAATTCAATACTACTATGATACCAAAACCAGACAGAAATAATAAAAGATGATTACAAGTCAATAGCCCTAAGGTACATGGACGCAGAAACTAAAAATTTTTAGGAAATGAAATGCAACCATATTAAGAAAGGATATTAAATCATGACAGAGGAATTTTATCCTGGAATGCAATTAATGTCATTTTTTTAAGATGGTAAATCTTTATTTTTGATGACGTATAACTGACCTATAACATTAGTTTCAGGTGTACAGCATAATGATTCAACACTTGCATACAATGGGAAACGACCACTACGATAAGTCTAGTTATCATCTTTCAACAGACAAAGTTACACAAAGTTACGTATTTTTTCTTGTGATGGCAGTATTTATGATTTACTTCCTTAGTATCTTTCAAGTTTGCAATACAATATCATTGACTATAGTCACCATGCCGTACATATCTTTGTGACTTATTTATAACTTGAAGATTGTGCCTCTTGTTCCCCATTCATCCATTTCATCTCCTCAATAGCTTCTCTCTCATCTGGCAACCACCAGTCTGTTCTCTGTATCTATTCTGGGGTTTGTTCATTTGTTTTTTAGACTCCACATCCAAGAGAAATCGACCATATCTTTCTCCATCTGACATATTTCACTTAGCATAATACCCTCATGGTCCTTTCACATGTCACAAATAGCAAGGTTCCATTTTTTTATTTTATTTTTTTTTTTATGACTGGGTAGTATTGTAGTTCCACATCTTTAACCATTCAGGTTTCAGTGGACATTTAGAGGTCGTTTTTATATCATGGCTACTATAAATAATGCTGCAATAAATACAGGGGTAAAAATTTCTTTTCAAATTAGTGTTTTCATTTTCTTCAGATAAACACCTAGAAGTGCAATTGCTGGATCATAAGTGGTTATATTTTCA